AAAAATTTTAGAGTATATGAACAATGAACACAAATGAACTGTGTGTGCCGGTCAGAAACACCTAGAAAATGGCAATGCGCAGACCTTAGTGTTTTCTCTCAATTCGTATGGACTTAGCGTGAACATGCGTCAGTGAATCAACCGCGCGCGCTCACGTTGTTGGATGTCGGTTTTGTTGTCCAGGAATGTGGGCTTTGGCTAGCAACTACTAGCAACTGTGCTGCTCAATTCCGGTCTGCGACACTGCTCATGTGTGTGTAAACCGGAGTGAGAAACTGCTCAGGAAGCATTATGCATTCCCGAATGTTCTTGTATAGTGATCCAGGCCTATGTGATGACGTCTAATCTGGAGCGAGGTTGTTGTTGAAATGCTTCCTGAGCATTGTTCATATACTCTAAAATTTTTCGGTGCAAAGATGTAGCTCTATTCTGATTATTTTTTATCGAAACCTATACAAGACTTCGCATAAAACTGAAACTACGACCACTGTTTTATCAAAACGCAGCAGTAAAAAGCTCACTTTCATCATACAATTTCTCAGTCTATCCAAGCCCACTATCGATTTACTGCTACAAAAAACAATTCATAATCCTTAACGTTCATAACCACAATTCAGCAAACTGTTAGACAATCATCAAACGCATTTCCGATCGGATCTGTCTGGTTGATTGATACCTGTTTATTCAACGATACTTTCTTGCCCTAGCCCCCCCCCCCTATATGTCGCGGACGGGAGATTCCGACATTCGAATCCGTGATTATTCTGCAATTCCGATTCCTGGTGCGTCATTTGAGATTCGTGTCTGCTCCGACTGCCACATGGGCATCTCTCAAAAGCGACAGGTTTGATAGATAGATCGTGCCAGCCAATCCGAGACAGTCCAGTCCAGACAGAAGCATAATGATGCAAGCAATACTGGAGGGCGATTGATGGAAGACTGGATAACCAATGATCTTCTTTTGTACGTATTATCTAATCGCCCTCATTTCTTCCAGTGAAGGAACTACTACTTACTCGCATTGTGGTCTTTCCCTCGCGTCTCGTTCTCGTGGGACAATGCGAATCCGTGCCATTGCGGTCCAGTGCTTCCGTAATTCAATCCGTGATAGCTGATTGTTGACTCGGATTCTGTGATTCATATTGCGTGGCTTGCATTCCGAGTTCCGTGCGTACTACTACTACCACTACTATATTCATTACAAATTGGCGTCGCGTGATGGACCTTCCAAAGATTGAGCAAGTGAACCTGCAGGCACGCCCATCTGAGACCGAGGAATGGGTCCAGCGATTCGAGCTTTGGTGCAGTATTCGCAAGTGTGGTGCACAGAATCAATCAGCCCTATTTATGACTTCTGGCGGCCGTGACCTGTACTCCGTGTGAAGAAACCTGGCCTTCCTCGAGGCTTCGGCTGAACTACCATACGAGTCCCTGAAATCACTGCCGCTCAACCACTTGCTGCCCATTGAATTTCAAGCACACGAAAAGGCCGAATTGAACTCCATGATTCGTGCCGATCATGTTTCCTGCCGTGAATTCATCCTGCAGCTGAACGAACAGAAATCACGCTGAAAACTATGGTGATCGCCTGGAAGAACAACTGTGTGACCGCTTGGTGGCAAGCATTAATAATCTGACTCTCCAACGGAAGTTGCTGGAGAAGAAGGATTTGACTTTTGTCGAGGCCCGCAAGATCTGTGAGCAACACGATGACCTGATGAGAGCTACCTCCAGCGAAGCAGTCACATTATTTCAACGGCAGAAGACACGACCGAACCGAACTCCAATGGACAAGTGTACACCGAAGCTGCAGCAAGTCCCTTCTGGCAACGAGAAACGCATCAATCCATGTCTGTCATGTGGAGCTTATCATCTGCGCTCCAATTGCCGCTTCCGAAATGCCAAATGTCATGCATGCGGGAAAATTGGCCACATTCGGAGAGTGTGTAAACAGCCCCGTTGCAATCTTTGCACAGCCAACTACTGCGAATGACACAAACCTTGTGCTCGCTCTACGATCCGAAAACCAATGCACCCAGTTTCTATACAGAGAAGTGAAACTACAGTCCGGCAACACGCACAAATTCATTGTTGACACGAAAAGCGCGGAGTCTATCATTTCTATTGCAGTACTTCGGTCAATCTGTCCCCAAGACGAAATCCGTCCGACATCTGTGAGAATCCTTGGTGTGACTGGACACAAATTGCCATTGATTGGTGAGATTTCATTGATGGTAAATTCCAAAGAACATGGCCTTGTTCCGATTCGCTTTCTAATTGCCAAATTCAGTCCATCCATACTTGGCTTCGGCGCCATTCGTGCACTGAACCATTCTGTGTCACTGCATACGAGCTGTGTCCAATGTGCACACCTGTGTACAGCGCCTGATCGTGAAATGTTCCAACAATGCAGGAGGCATGAACGAGCAGCCGGCCAAATTGGAAGTTGACGGTGAGCCAATTTTCCTGAAACGACGCGTAATCCCCTCTGACCAACGTGAAGGCGTGCTGCAGGCCCTTGAGAAAATGAAGCGCGTTGGCGTAATCACACGAGTCACATCCATTACGTGGGCAACGCCAATTGCGATCGCGATCAAAAGTGACGGCAGAACTCCACGAATTTGTGGCGATTACCGGTTAATCCTCAACCCGCGGTTGCGAAAGAGTGCGGCTACTACCATGGAACCGGAGGATATCATAAAAGCATTCCATGGCAGCACATGCTTCTCGAAGATCGACTTGACTGATACGTACCTCCAGATTCCTCTCGCCCCAGCCTGTCGGCAATCCACCACCATCAACACACCGTGGGGACTATATCAATACAACTTCCTACCGTTTGGTCTCCACACATCCTCAGGCATATTCCAGGCGGCTATTGACGAAGTCATTCGCGGACTCGATGGCGTGCTAGCGTACCATGACGTCATTGTGTTTGGTACAACAAAGGCCGAGAATGACGATAGACTCCTCAAACTACTGGAGCGGTTCGCCCAAAAGAATGTTTTGATTCGCGCTTCTAAATACATGTTCAGTTCACCAGAATTTGAATTTTTGGGATTCACAATGAATGCAAAAGGCTACCGTCCTGATCCGAGTCGTTTCCGCCCACTGACTGAACTCGAATAACCGAGAGACCAAAATCAACTCAGATTCATCATGGGATGTCTCCAATACTATTCGCGTTTCATCCCAAACTTCGCCATGAAAGCTCAACTGCTGTCCGCTGCT